CTTTTTGATTCCTAAGAATTTTAAAGTTTTTACGAAAGAACTTCATGTAAACTGAAGGATGTTTCTGTTATGTGTGCTCAGAAATCCCTAAACCCATAAATAGTACGAGGGGAGCGCTAAAATTAAAAGGAATTTATTCAGATGCTATTCGGGTTTTCCATAGTAGTAAATCGATTTCTGAAATTTCTTCGGAAACCTGAGATCTCTAAAGTTTGAAAAACGTTCAGGATGTCTAAGATATGTTCGAAAATCATTGCTCGATTTCTAGCAAACGCTTTCACCATTTCTGCTATGCGGAAAACCAACAAGGTTTTCGAGAAAATAGTGAAACTAACAACGTTTTCCGAAGAAACCTTTTGGTTTTCGAAAATAATATAATGGTTTCTAAAAATAAGGTTGTGGATTGTTGATTTTTGGAAAAACGTTTTTTTTTATAATCCAGAGTCTGTTGAGTTCTGAATCCTCAAGAATTCGAACTTCACGGAATTTGAGCACATCCGTATCATACTGTCTGACTTTGGTAATAGACTGTGAGAGCACTGAAACCGAAATACTCACTCTACAAAGACACACAACTTCATTCGTTTTTAAACTTTTAGGGTGAAAAAAGTCAGATTGTTAGAAGAAAAGATGAATATCTTAGAAATTCTTGTGAACATGAAAATTAATGATAGAGTGAAAACTGCAAGAAAAGAAAAATTCAATTTCGGATGAGACCATGGCTGCAGAAAAAAAACATTATGTTTTGAAAAATGATAAGAGGCAGTTATCTCACACGTATGATGACAAAGATAAACAGAGCTAACAAGCCAGAGTATAACAATACGAACATTTTTATCATTTCATTCTCCTTGAAGTGTAGTATTTATTCTTTCCATCATTGAAAGTATTTATTAAAAAAATACATGTGGTCGAACGAAAAACTGCAGATTATTCTATGCATACTTGCTATCATTGGATTGCAAACGTCTGGTGAAACAAATGAAGTTGGTACGTGTATCAAAAACAGATTTGTGCTGAAGAAATACAGCTTGTCCCGAAAGTCATTCGTTCTAAGGTCTTTACACAACTCTTTTCTTTTTTAATCTAAGAAATGACTTTGTAAAATTTGATAAGCAGGACTAGTCCGTAATCTTGACTTTTTGGCTACGGGTGATTAACAGATCGGATCGAGAGGTTACACAATAGTGATGCTACAACGTAACCGTGCAGTTTCGAAGATTTGCAGTGTTGAGTTTTTGCAATATTACGACTTTTTCAGAAAAAAATCATCGCATGTCCATCGTCTGGATTATTTCATCATGAGCAATCTAATCTTGATTTGTGATTGGTTTGAAGACACGCCATCATCCACAACAAAATACAAATTGAAACCAAGAAGATAATGAAAGACAAAATAAGTTATAGTCTCATTCGTTCATCCATAAAGTCTTGAAACGGCTCTTGGTGTAGATCATTTAATACTTCTGACACATTCAGCCTTTATTGATCGTATATTTATCTGATTTCCTCCGTATAGTAGGACCTTCTTCCAACTAGAGAAACTTACTAACGGTTGAATGTGCAAAGTGCATTTGAGGCGGCTTGAAACGATACTATATGCACAAAATTTTTCGAATCATTTTTACACTTTTCTCGCCATTGCCAGTGCAATTTCCAGTCACCTCGGTATATTTCACATCAAAAAAGTGTCCGTTGATTAAACATATATTGAAATCGAACATGTCTGTCTTGGTCTTGATCCTTCCTCATGTCGACTTCTCAAAGGCTCCAACAGAAATATTTACGCGTCATTACCATTGTCTAGCTTCACTCATTACAGTGTCATTGTACTTTTTTCCACTTATCTGATCACTACATTTTACTTTCATATAGCATTCGCTATTTTCTGATGAAATTTAAATATATATGATGCGAGAAAAATCTAAGATTCATGCGCTCATTTAATTTAATAAAAGTTCAAAGCCTAGAAAAAATCGAATCCGATCGTTTCAATCGTGTTTTGCGCTTGATATATGACTATCCTGAAAATGCCACAGGCGAATCACCAAACATGACTTCTGAAAACACATTGGATTAGATTGGGAGTAATATATCTGTTCGTAAAGTACACTGAAGAAGAAGAACAAACATTAGTAGCATAGATAGGAAAGACCTAGACACTAGATAAACGCAGTTTAATGTCTGCATCTATGAAACTTTCATATCCCAAGAGTCCTGTGATGTTTATTTGCAGCGATTGATGAATCGATCTCATAGAGAAATCAGTATGTGTACGGCTAGTTCTTTATCTTTTGACAAGATGCCAGTTGTCTGAAAAAATCCTATGAAAATTTCCAGAAACCCGTTGACCAAATATGAATCGATCTTAATCACCTTCTCAAGTTTTTTTCTGAACTAATAGTTCTTCAAGCATCCTGAGCAAGTCACGCAGCGCTAGAAGTATGTCATAAACGCAGTTTCGGCGAGTCTTATCGAATAGTTGCAATTAAACAGGTATCTTTCATTCCACCACGCAAGTTCGAGAAATATAGATTATACCAAACCAACTTTTCGACATTCATCTATTTTGCGGCTAAAATAGTCGAAGACTACACAGCTGTATGTTCTATGCGGGCTGGTTTCGAGTCTCAAGTTTAAGATTTGATCGAATTGAACTCTACATCCTAACTTAGCTGCAGATCCGATTTGTATTCAACTTCGGATTTCAATATAGAAGAACCGACTTCATTCAATCAGATTACAGTGTTCTCGTTACGGTGCAACTGATAATTCCTGTTGTTTGAGAGTTATCAATAAATAACTGAAGGCTTGATGATTTACTAAGTCATGTAAAAATGGGATACCGAATTTTTCCAAAACGAAACATGAATCTAGGCCTGACAGCATCCATAAATGATTCCGTCAAATCTGTATCCAAAAAAACGTAGATTCGCAACTCCTTATCGAAAATATAATCAGTTAGTTTTACGACATTCGACACATTGTTTTACAACGAGAAACACTAAATTTCCCTCTTCTTTGTTGACATTATTCTTGAAGCATGGCTGAAAAGCGCAGGTGGAATCGTGAGTCTATCGACTTACTCCTGCATTCTCTCGATCCTTGCACGACAAATCCCATGTCATTTCTTCGTGAAATCTTCTATTTAGATATTGCTGGATCTTAGCTCAACTATTCTTCAGAATTCGGTCTGAACTTCTATTCTTCTATTCCAGGGAATTCCTGATGATGCGATAGAAGATCCTGAAGAAATATGTTGTCTGTATCATAAATAGATCTTCCTGAGGATCTTGCATTGAGATACTGACTGAGGCTTTTTTCTTCAAACAGTCTTTGACGCTTTTTTTTCAATATCCATGATAGGGAGTTTCAGAGTAAACCACAGAATTCTTCATATAATCATCAATAAATCGCCAAATTGTCGAACATTGATTGCTTATTCCCTATCTTGGTCATATACGTGACGTTTAAGAATGTTCTTTTCATTACAACAGCAGTCAACACCGACGCTTCATTTGATGAATCTACAAACAAAATATCCACAACGTCAACAACAATCACCAACACATCTTCATTTGATGGTTCTACAAACAAAATACCGACAATGTCAACAGAAATCAATACCATCTTCTCATTCGATGATTCTACAGACAAAATATCGACAACAACAACAGCAACCAATATCATAACTTCATTTGATGATTTCACAAATGAAATATCGACAACGTCAACAGCAATCAGCATCATAACTTCATTGGATGATTTCACAAATAAAATATCCACAACGTCAACAGCAATCAGCACCGGATTATCATTTGATGGCTCTACAAACAAAATACCGACAACGTCAACAGCAATCAACACTACACCTTCATCTGATGGTTCTACAAACCAAATACCGGCAATATCAACCGAAATCAATGCCGTATTTTCATTCGATCATTCTACAGACAAAATATCGACAACATCAACACCAATCAACACCACAATTTTATTTGATGATGTCACAAATGAAATATCGACAATGTCAACAACAATCAACACCACATCTTCATTTGATGGTTCCACAAATAAAATACCGGCAACGTCAACAGAAGTCAATACCATATTTTCATTGGATGATTCCACAGACAAAATATCCACAACGTCAACAACAATCAACACTACACCTTCATCTGATGGTTCTACAAACAAAATACCGGCAATACCAACAGAAATCAATACCATATTTTCATTCAATGATTCTACAGACAAAATATCGACAACATCAACAACAATCAGCATCACATCTTCATTTGATGGTTCTACACACAAAATACCGACAATGTCAACAGAAATCAATAGCGTATCTTCATTCGATGATTCTACAGACAAAATATCGACAATATCAACAGCAATCAACATCATAACTTCATTGGATGATTTCACAAATGAAATGTCCACAACGTCAACAGCAATCAGTACCGTATTACCATTTGATGGCTCTACAAACAAAATACCAGCAATATCAACAGAAATCAATACCATATTTTTATTCGATGATTCTACAGACAAAATATCGGCAACATCCACAGCAATCAACACCACAACTTCATTTG